CAGCAAAAGAAACTATCAACCGACAACCTACAGAATGGGAGAAAATATTTGCAGACTACGCATTTGACAAAGGTCTAATATCCAGCATCTCTAACAAACAAATTTACAAGAAAAAACAACTCCATTAAAAAGTGGGCAAAGGACATGAACAGACACTTTTCAAAAGAAGATATACATGCAACCAACAAGTATATGAAAAAAGCTCAACATCACTGATGATTAGAGAAATGCAAATCAAAACCACAATGAGATACCATCTCACACCAGTCAGAAAGAATGGCTATTATTAAAAAGTCAAAAAAGTAACAGATGCTAGCAAGGTTGTGGAGAAAAGGGAATGCTTATACACTGTTGATGGGAGTATAAATTAGTTCAAGAATTGTGAAAAGCAGAGCGGCAATTTCTCAAAGCTAAAAACAACCACCATTTGACCTAGCAGTCCCATTACTGGGTATATACCCAAAGGAATATAAATCATTCTACCATAAAGACACATGCACACGTATGTTCACTGCAGCACTATTCACAATAGCAAAGACATGGAATCAACCTAAATGCCCATCAATTGTAGATTGGATAAAGAAAACGTGGTACACATATGACCCAGCCATCCCATTACTGGGTATATACCCAAAGGATTATAAATTATGCTGCTTAAAGACACATGCACACGTATGTTTTTGCAGCACTATTCACAATAGCAAAGACTTGGAATCATCCCAAATGTCCATCAGTGACAGATTGGATTAAGAAAATGGGCACATATACACCATGGAATACCTATGCAGTCCATAAAAAAGGATGGAGTTTGGTGTCCTTTGTAGGGACATGGATGCAGCTGGAAACCATCCATTCTTAGCAAATGGTCCACAAGAACAGAAACCAAAACTACACCGCCATGTTCCTCACTCATAGTGGGAACTGAACAATGAGATCACTTGGACTCAGAAGGGGAACATCACACACCGGGGCCTATCAATGGGAGGGGGAGGGGGGGGACTGCATTGGGAGTAATACCTGATGTAATGACGAGTTGATGGGTGCAGCACAGCAACATGGCACAAGTATACATATGTAACAAACCTGCACGTTATGCACATGTACCCTACAACTTAAAGTATAATAATAATAATAAATAATTAAAAAAAAAAAAAGAAAACGTGGTACATATACACCACAGAATACTATGCAGCCATAAAAAGAGACATCCTATCCTTTGCAGGAGCAGGAATGGAGCTGAAGGCCATTATCCTTAGCAAACTAATCCTGGAACAGAAAACCAAATATCGCATGTTCTCACTTATAAGTGGGAGCTAAATGATGAGAACACATGTACACATAGAGGGAAACAATAGAGACTGGGGCCTAAAGAGGGTGGAGGGTAGAGGAGGGAGAGGAGCAGAGAAAAATAACTAGGCTTAGTACCTGGATGACAAAATAACCTGTACATCAAACTCCCATGACATGAGTTTACCTTTATAACAAACCTACACATGTACCCCTGAACCTAAAATAAATGTTTAAATAACAAAATAAAAACAAAATATTTAAAAAACAAAATAAAAATAAAATGTTTGAAAAACAAAATAAAAGATAAATCATCAGTTTGAAACTCTGGAGAAAGACCTATAAGTTGGTATTATTTACCTAGTAATGATCATCTGGGTTAGAGCAGTGCCACTCCACATGCTGTCCACTGACCAGTAGCATCATCTGGAAGAATATGAGAAATTCACTCTCTCAGCTCTATACCAGACCCACTGAATCAGAGTCTCTGAAATGAAGCCCACAATCTGAATTTTAACAGTCTCCAGATGATTCCACGTGCACTGAAGTTTGAGAAGCACTGGGCTAGGGGGCCAATGAGATCACTGAAGGAGAACGTGTACAGCCCAAAGAAAAGAAATTTGCATGTTGGAGAATTTCTTTAGGGGCAAAAAAGTGGAAAAGAAAACAACACACTAGAAAGGGTCTCAAAGGAGTATGAGAAAATTATGGTGCATTTCATTGTGAAAATCAGGGCAAGATACAATTACTGTGTACTTATCTTAGGCTTCCTGATAAACTGTTAAACTACTTGTGTGAAGAGATTCATTAGGGATAAGGTAAGCATCTGCATCAGTAGCTCCAAGAATAATATTTTATTTTTTGTTGACAAATCAAAAATCAAGACTGTCCTCTGCAAAACAGAGCTTTGATTTTGATCACTTGGAGATAAAACACACGCATGAATGGTGGCGCTATGAATGGCAATATTCCAGCAGGATGGAAGATCTTTTCACTACATTTTGCCTTCTTTGCCAAGAACATGTGTAGTTAATCCCACACCAAACAGACAAATCATTCATCTAAGAAGCGGCAACACAGTAAACACGAAATCTGCAGTGGGTCCCAGGAGGAAGAAATGAAAGAGTTCGCTGCTCTTGCTCACCTGTAACTTATCAATTTTATTATTTCTCACCCAAATATTGAATTAGAGTATTTTAATAACTTTCCTCGAGCAAATAAATTTCTCTCTAATGTAGACTAATAACAGGCGCAAAACAAGTTCTCCATGGTCCCCGATGCTGAGAGAAAATTACTTCCAGCCATTATAGCTCAGTAATGACAGCATTTAGTGTATACTCCATCAGAAGGCCTTCACAAAATCACCCAGGAAGTACCTATATTCACAGAGCACTGGACGAGGCTCATAATTCTGGAGAGAAGTGACTGGCTTCATGCACGGCGGTGGCTGGCACCCTCAAGGCACAGGACTTGCTTCCCTAAACTGATGTGGGGAAAGGATATGACATCAGGATGGGATGCCACTCCCAGTTTATTTTCACTCCACTACAGAAACTTGTAAGTTCTATTTCAAGAACTGAAGAGGTCTTTATGTCATGAACAAGTTCTTTTTAGCAGCATCTGTGCTCACTGATGTAATATCATGGTTAAACATACTGAAGTTGGGTGACATCCCTACGTAAGCAGACAGAATGTTGGCTCTAATATCTAAAGAAGAAAAGTATACCTTTTTATTATTTTATTTTATTTTATTTTGAAAGAGAGTCTTGTTCTGTCACCCAGGCTGGAGTTCAGTGTGATCTCGGCTTACTGCAAGCTCTGCCTCTTGGGTTCAAGCAATTCTCCCTGCCTTAGCCTCCCGTGTAGCTGGGATTATAGGCGCCCGCAACCAGGCCCGGCTAATTTTTGTATTTCTTAGTAGAGACATGGTTTCACTCTGTTGGCCAGGCTGGTCTTGAACTCCTAACCTCAAGTGATCTGCTCGCCTTGGCCTCCAAAAGTCCTGAGATTGCAGGCATGAGCCACAAGACCCGGTCAGAAGTATACATTTTTGAAATGTATACAAAAAGAAATGAATGGGAACACTTTCTAGTTATTTATATACTTCCCTAAAAAACCTTGCCCTTTTTCCTACTATATTCAATGCTTCACACAAAAAGGAAAAAGCAAAACTTGAGTCCAGAAAAAAAAACCAAATCCAAACACAAAATTTTAACTGTAAAAAAAAAAAAGACACTACAGGAGAATGTTATGAAGGTAAGGTCGAGAATCAGGGAGATGTGGGTTCCAATCCTAATTCTGACACTTGCTCACTCTGCGACTTCGACTACGCCACTTACCTGGAGAAGCCTCAGTTTCTTGATCTGAAAAATGGGAATGAAAATTCTCTCTCTCAACAGGAGTGTTTTATGGATGAGATGAGATCATGCATATATAGTGTTCGATGCTCAATAAGTTAAAGCTTTTGGCAGGGTGTGGTGGTTCACGCCTGTAATCCCAGCACTTTAGGAAGCAAAGGTAGGAGGCCCATTTCAGCCTAGGAAGTTCGAGACCAGCCTGAGCAACATAGGGAGATCCCACCTTTACAAAAACTTTTGATAGCTGGGCATGGTGCATATGCCTGTAGTCCCAGCTACTCAGGGGGCCGAGGTGGGAGGATCACTTGAACCCAGGAGGTCGAGGCTGCACTCAGGCGTGAGTATGTCACTGTATTCCAGCCTGAGTGACAAAGCGAGACCCTGTCTCAAAAAATAATAAATAATAAATAAATAATAGATGATAGCTTTTGTTTTTATCAGTACAGGTTCCTCATGGTCTTACATGAATGGCATAGTAGAAAATGTGGCACTGAATTAAAATTCTGCTTCCACCATCCATTAGCCAGAGTTTCTTGAGTAAGTCCCTTGACTCGCTGGTTCTCCTCTTTCTCACTAGCAGAGAGAACAGAGTGGATTATACTGCTCTTAAATTCCTTTCATCTCAAATATTTCATGTACCAATACACTTACCAATTACCGTGAGATTTCCTGCCTTTGAAGTTAATTATAAAATGATCTCTTATGTGTAAACCATATGAAAGAGATTTTATAGCTGTGTTTCAATTTTTTTGAATTTCTAAAGCGGTTTTGTTGAACAGAAAGCTGTTTTATTAAACAGAATATACAAAGAGAAAGATGACAAATCAAAATTTTAAAATAATGTAACCTATGTAATCACCATCCAGATCAAGGACTAGAACTTGACCAGCATCCCAGAACCTCTGATCATTCTACTCTTTTTTATATACAGGAAAAGTGCCCATTAAATACATAGAAGACACAGTTAACATAAAGGTTTTGCTTCTCAACAAAACAATGACTGGCTGGGTGCAGTGGCTCATGCCTGTAATCCCAGCACTTTGGGAGACTGAGGTGGTCGAACCGCTTAAGCTCAGGAGTTTGAGACCAGCCTGGGAAACATGGTGAGATCCCGTCTCTACTAAAAATAATAATAATAATACAAAAATTAGCCAAGCATGGTGGTGCTCACCTGTAGGCACAGCTACTTGGAAGGCCGACATGGGAGGATGGCTTGAGCCTAGTAGGCGGAGGTTGCAGTGAGCCAAGATTGTGCCACTGCAGTGAATTCTGAGTGACAGAGCCAGACCTGTTTCAAAAAAAAAAAAAATGACAACAACAACAATACAACAGCAGACTATTTTTTTTTTTTTTTTTTTTTTTAAAGCCAATTGGATAAAAAGCATTCTGGATGGGAGATACAAAACGATGGATCAGCATAAATAATCTCCACATTGAAACCTACCAGAAAGCTAATTTCTAGGATCTTGTTATGTCCGTACTAATTTGGCCATCTAGAAAGCATTCAAATGCAATATGCTGTTTAGAATAAGCCAGTTTCTTTAAATAACGATTACCATTGTTGGTTTCATGAGGTCCCTCTGTTGAGCCTTACTGTGCTCCAGCCAGCTGCTTGCATTTTTATAGTTTGCTTCTAAATTTGCAGGGCTTTTTTTCTGGCTGTCTGGTGGAAAGATTTTCAATACAGACAGACCTGTATGCATTTAAAAATGACTGTTAGTACACTGAAATAGAGCTTCCTTGCTGGCTGTAAATAGGTATTATCTTTTAAACATACCTATATGCTGAGTTCCAGAGAGTCGTTTTCGATGTGTGCACACTTTTCTACATTAGACGCTAGCATTAAACATAAATAGACTCCACTACAGTCACAATAACAGTTTCACAAGCTTGACAGCTAAAACCGCATACAAGAGAAATGTTTTGTAGAAAATGTAAACTCCTGATTTTTCACTTTTGCTTTAGCTGAAAAAAATTAACATAGAAAAGAGGAACTTTTAGGTACTATCAACAGCTGAGGGGGAAATAGAATGCTATTTCTTTGAATTTGGAAGAGACAAGGTGAAATATCTTTGACTTATTTATCTTGCTCAATCCCATTGCCCCTACTACCAGGGCTACAGTAGGGAAGAAAAGGAAAGGGAGAGGAGGCAGGAGAGTGAAAAGAGAAGAAAGTGCAAAGTTAGCCAAGTGGAGGTGTTAGTGCAGAAGCTACACAGACAAACGGGCCTGGAGAGTGAAGTGGCGTGATAGTTTCAAATTTTATCCCATATATTTCTATTTCTTTTCACTGTCATCTCCTGCCAACTTTCCTCCCCTTGAAGCTGAGGCAACCATTGCTTGGGGATGGAGCTAAATTCTGGGAAGAGCAAAGGACTCCGAGCTAAAGTCCTAATTCCAAAAAAGCCTCTGGAATCCCATTTCAGGAAGGAAAGAGTAGTTGTGAAAACTGAAGCTTTCATTTGCAAAACCAGAAATTAAAATTTTTTTTTTTTTAGTTTAGCGTGCTCAAAAGAGAGAAAGGAATATTTATATTTTTGTTTGTTTGCTAACCAAAAGCCATCGAGTAGGAAAGATTCAGGACAGGGTGTGACCTCGGAGCATTTCCTGAGCCATGGGGACTGAAAAGAACCTTCCTGTACTGGGGCTGGTAGAGAGGACCTGCGAGAATCTGTCAGCAGAGAGGAGACACTCAGCTTTCGGCTTCCTGCTTGGAACTCTGGGAAGAGAATCTTCTAGGAGACCCCACAGTTTGTAGGACAGCCTCATGGATGATAGGCAAGTTCTGTTTAGGCAAAACAGTCAGGAGCTCCCCCCTCAGCTTTCCTCATTCCTGCTACCCATAGCACAAGGAGATCCAAAAAGCCCCAAAGGCCAGGCACGGTGGCTCACACCTGTAATCCCAACACTTTGGGAGGCTGAGGGGGGTGGATCATTTGAAGTTGGAGTTCGAGACCAGCCTGGCCAACATGACAAAACCTGTCTCTACTAAAAATATGAAAATTAGCCAGGCGTGGTGGTGGGCTCCTGTAATCCCAGCTACTCGGGAGGCTGTGGCAGGAGAATTGCTTGAACCGGGAAAGCGGAGGCTGCAGTGAGCTGAGATCGCACCAGTGCATTCCAGCCTGGGCAATAGAGCAAGACTCCATCTCAAAATAAACAAATAAGTAAGAATTAAAATTAAAAACAAAAAGCCCCAAAGAATGAACTGGGACCCTACCATCCACCAGGCAAGAAAGATGAAGACATCACAACTGGAAGCCATGGCAGGATCACAGACAGGAGCAGTGGATACCAGAGTACATCCAGCGACAGGAGCTGATGGGAATGGAGGTGGGGGAGGTTTCCAAAACCCCCTAGGAAAAGGCAGTGAGGTCTAAATGACCAGCGTAACTTGATCCCTTTTCATTGCAGATGTGTATCTTCTGAATCCAGCCACCCTTCTGGGAAGCATAGAGAGGAAGAACCTCTAGAGAGAGGTGGAAAGGCCTTGAACTCAGAGAGGAATGCTTGGAAGCCAGAATCATCTGAATATTGACCACAGAGAGGTTAATTTTAAATCAGAAGGGACTAAGTTGTCTTTCGTGTGAGGCTGATGCACAAGCTGAATTCAGTTACTGATAAGCTAAAGTTGTGCTTCTGCAGATGTTCACATCACAGCAGCCTCAGAGCCTCTTTGGAGGTTCTAGGGAAAGATGCTGCTCCTTCATATACCCACCTTCCTAGAGAAGGATCTTCTGGGAGGCAGGAAGGCTCAGTAGTTGTACCTAAGAGTAGACTAATCAGCCCTCCAGCAAGAGAGAGTAGCACCATTGCTGCCTGGAAATCAGGTGTCCTGTCACCTAGCCGACTCCTTCAAATAGCGAAGGATGTTCAGGAAGCTCCTTTCATGGCTCCCACCTGAACCCCAAGACTGTGCAGTGTCACCCTCAGTTCTGCTCTCCATTTCACTTCTGAGGCTGAATGGGGCAGAAACCATCCCCCACCCCATGGCTGGTTCACCCTTGTACCTTTTCCCAGAAGAGAAATGACTTATGAGAGTCTTTGCTTTGAAGCAGTGTATACGGTTTACAGGGAAGTTACAAGTCAAATGTTTCCTTGCTGGCTTATTTTTTTTTTTTCTTTTTTCAGATGGAGTCTCACTATGTCGCCAGGCTGGAGTGCAGTGGCACGATATTGGCTCACTGCAAACTCCACATCCTGGGTTCAAGCGATTCTCGTGCCTCAGCCTCCTGAGTAACTGAGATTACAAACATGCACCACCACATTAATTGTTGAATTTTTAGTAGACACGGGGTTTCACCATATTGGCCAGGATTGTCTCAATCTCCTGACCTCGTGATCCATCCCGCTCGGCCTCCCAAAGTGCTGGGATTACAGGCGTGAGCCACCGCACCTGGCCCCTTGCTGGCTTTTAGAAAGGATTCTTCCCAAAGTATCATTGAGTCCAGTAATATCACCTGGAAGCCAGTTAGAATGCAAATTTTGGGTATCCCACCCAAACCTACTGATCAGAAACTCGGGGGTAGGGATCTGTTGAAATAAGCCACCCCACCCCCACTCCACCCCCAGCCTATGCATATTAAATTTGAGATGCACTGTCTTCAGAGACCTAAGTGATCCCTCTGTTGAGCTCCACTAAAGGTTGACAGTGTCTTCAAGACATAAACTGTAACATCCTATGGCATCTGAGACTCCAGTAGCATCTCAGCAGGGATGCTACTTCAGCAGCCTCCAGTAACAGCTCAGCATCTTCAGCCATCCAGCAGGAATCTCAGTTCATCCAACAATTATTAAGGATCTTCCATGCCGGGAACTCTAAATTCTCTATGACCACATGCATCTCTCCTATGGTTTTGTGATATGAGAAAATAGACGAGGATAAATGCGTGGTCCATTTCAATGCAGTCCACTTGCCTAAGCTTTTATTCCAGAAAAGAAGGCGCCACCAGGGCTTGGGAAAAATATTTAGCTGCCCCAGCCTTGAGGCAAAACATATTCCTATCCCTAAGAGTGGTCTTATTTCCTAGTACTTATTGGTACTCAGTGTCTGGTCCATGGACCAATAGCATCAGCATCACCTGGAACTTGTTAGAACTGCAATCTCAGGCTTTGTCCCGGACCTACTGAAGCAAAATCTGAGTGTTTACCAGAAACCCAGGATATTTGTGTGCTCAGTAAAGTTTGAGAAGCAATAGCCTAGCTTGGTGGATCTGTGCACACTATAGTTACCTGGGAATAATTACAAAAACACTAGTGTGCCCCAGAAATTCTTATTTTATCTGTCTGGGTGAGTCCTGAAAATTCTCCCAGGTGATTCTGATGTGTAGCTTCCACTGTTAGCTAAACCAACAGACTTGGAAATGTCCAGTCTCCCTGGTTAAAATCTGCAGGTGGCTTTAAGGTGTAAAGAAAGGGGAGAGGTAGATGGATATGCCAGACTCATTACAAATATTAGCTCATTGACTCTATGAATAACACTGAGAATATGTTCCCAATAGACTCTTGTCTTTGTTTTGTGCTTTTATAACAGAATATCACAGACGGGATCATTGATAATAAACAAATTTATTTGGCTCATGGTTCTAGAGATTGAGAAGTCCAAGATCAAGGCACTAGCAGACTCAGTGGCTGTTAAGGGCTTCTCTCTGCATCCAGAATGATGGCTTCTTGCTGTGTCCTCACATAGTGGGAGGCAAAGAGAGAAAGAAAGAGAAAGAGAGAGAGAAAGAAAGAGAGAGAGAGAGAGAGTGGAGGAGACTGAATTTGTCTTTTTATAAGGAACTCACTCTCACAATACCTGGCATTAATACACTCATGAGGGTGGAGCTGTCAGGACTTAAACCACTCTCAAAGGACCCCTTCCCAGTTCTGCTGCATTGGGAACCAAGTTTCCAATACATAAATTTTGAGGGACACATTCAAACTATAGCGACCCTTTTAACAAATAATGGAAACTGAGATGTTGGAAAAGTTTAATAAACTTAGGAATTCAAAAACAGCAAGTTGTGGAGCCAGGGTTAAAACGTCTGAATCAAAAATGTATGTTTTATTTGCTAAAGGAAGAAACTGATGATACACAATGAAAAACCATGTAAGTATGCAATGGAATATCCCTGAGATAAACCAAGGTTCAAATATGGTAGAGCTTTTCAGTACATGAGATTCTGAACTGGTTCACACTCTAATCAAATAACCACACAATTCTAAACTGTGGGGGGGGGGGGGGGGCCTTTCTTGGACTGTTTGTGTAAGATTTGCAAGATCTGCATTATCTCTTTAGCATTCTTCTCAGGCTTAGCTCTGAGGAGTAGCACCACTAGTGAGGGAGGTGTAGACTATTGCCTTGCAGAACCACTGTGCCATGGAAAGCTTGTGGTGAAAAGAATACTGAGTAGTACAACAGCACTTCTCAATCCAACCTCTTGATGTGTCTCCCATGTCTCCTTCTTGATCCCTGATTTTCAAATTTAGGAGGCTCCCTGGAGTCAATGAGAATGCAAGATGATAACCTAAAAAACCGTATATTCCACATCAAACCGGCCTGAATTCCCATACCAACGCCTCCCCTCACTATGTGACTTCAGAAAAACCACTTAACCTCCCATGCCTCAGATACCTGATCTGTGAAGTGGAGGAAAAGACCTTGCAGTGCCACCCTCCTTGCCTGGCTGCTGTAACAATTACAAATGATATATGTAAAGCATGTAGTACAATGCCAATGGTGGAATTCACTATTATAACTTGGAATGACCTTCTGCCCTCTTCTTCCTTCACTAGCTTTGCAACTCCTGCAGCCATCCTCACTGAAACTCCTGACAACCCCCCTTCCAAACAGAGCTACATGCCCCAGGCTCACCACCAGCACACTATAGAACTATGACTGAAATACTTAAACCAAATTGAGTAAAGTGGTCTGTGCAAAGCTGCTCTGTCACTTGATCATGAGCTCCCTGAAGGCAGGGACTGTCTTGTTCCCTGTTCCCCATTAAACTTCCAGCACCTAGTCCAATGCCTACTCATAATAGGCTTTCAATAAATGTATGTAGAATAAATGGACAAATGTAAATATTTGGAGCCTGCCCCTCTGGAAATTGGGCAGGTAAGATGTTTCGGCTACATACAATGCATTATGTACCTAAGAATAGATTAAGGTAAGTACTTTACATGATTTTGGGATGAGGCAGATGCTCCTGGGAACAGATGCAAGGAAGAAACACTATTCTTCTTCAGCTGGATGTTGTCATGGCTACATATGATGCTGGAAACACTAGCAACCATTTTGCAACCACAAGGGAAGCTGAAGAATCCAATATGGTGAAGGCGGAGAGCAGAAAGAAGGATCCTTGATTACACCATTGAGCCACCGTCCCATCTCTAGAACCACCTACTTCTACGCTGGTTGCTTATGTGATATCATCACTGTTTAATCTACTCTTTGATGGATACTGTGTTACTTGCAGCTGAAGCATCCTATCTGATACCAGGGAAAGGGATATGAGAAGATGAATACCTTGGCCAAGAAGACAACATTGCAATTTGCAAAAGAAATGAACCAACATTAGAGCAGAGGGAAGGAAATTATATTATTAACTCATGAACAACACACTCTATCAAAAGCAATACATAAAATAAGTCATTTAATCCTCACCAAAACCATAGGAAGGTGTTATGGATATTCTGTTTTATAAAATGAAAACTCAGGGAGGTTAAGTACTTACCTTAGGTTAGATAGTAAGTGGGCAACCTTGGTATTCCAATTCATGCTGGTATGAGCACAATGTCAGGAGGGATCTGCCATGCCATGTGCATGCCAACTTGGCATTCCATTAGGTCATCCTTTTGCATGACTGTATTCCTCAGATCTCTTCCTGCAAAATGATTTTGCTAGAAAGAGAGTAAGGCATAAAGGAAGGCAATGGTGCTCTCAGAAAGATACGAAGGTGTGAGGTCAAGTGACAATAGCAGGAGAATAAAGCCTACCTGGGAAGACTTTAAATTACACACAGAGCAGGTTCAGATAAACACCACTCCTTTGATTGAAAAAAAATACACATGTGCACACATACAAATTATCAATATTTTTGCATAGTCCTTATTAAGTATAAGTTACTTGATATATTTATGGCATAATTAAGGAAAACTTTCACAAATGAATTGAATCTGGTTTTGGCTGCATAACAATATATCTATTTACTTTTGTTAGACTTTGGAAATTTCAATACACTGTAATTGTATTTTTAATGACAGAAGATTCATCTCGGCTCATTGTGCATGCATTTCATTATTCACCACACATTTATATTTGAGCAAATGAACTTGTTCATTACACGTTGTAATCTTTTTGTTGTACAATGTTTCCGTTTTTGAAAGCCATGCAATCACATCGTTGTGGTGTTGGCAATTGTCATTATACAATGTATAAAATTTCAAAAGGATGTAATTTAAGGATTTTGATCTTGCAGCATAAATATATGCATGACACGTAATATGAATAAACTTACTCCAGATGGTTTCTTAAAACAGATAAATCAAATTTCCCAGTAGTAACAAACTAAACTCTCAACCAAATATAGTTTTTTCACTGATTAAAATGGCCAGAATATTTATGTGACTCCAAACATAAAACATGTGACAAAAATTGGGGTAGGTCATAATAAGAAATCAGATTTTCTGGCCATTTTAAGAGTTATTTGGGGCCTACTAAAGATAAGGGCCCTCACACCTGAAAAAGCTCAGGTTTTAAGCTCAGTTCTGCCATATCTCAAAACACATGCAAGCTCAGCATGTTTGGGTTTCATGGGGAAAGAAGCAGATACAGTGAATTTAATCCACCAAGATGAAGTTGGCAATACCTTTTCCTTCCCCAGCACCTTCAAGCTGTATTTACAAGCCTTTCAAACATAGGCGAAAACAGAACACTACAGAAAAATGTTAACTAGAAAAAACATATTGGCTCAGTAAAACAAATAACCCTCAAAGCCAGAGAACTGCATGTTTATTGACTCCACCGCCACTAGCCCTGCCTTGCGTAGTTACAGTACAGCCCAAGTGCATTAGCAAACAGCCAAGCTCTTTCTGCTCTGTTGCTAGCAACCGTACTGCATTCAGCAGCTAGTAAAATTAAACCTCTTCCAAATAATCCTCATGTGCATGGACTATAAAGTGAATGTAAATTAAAGCAATACATTACCAAAAACTTCAACTTATTTAGAGAGTTGCTTGCTAGTCCTACTTTGGTAAATATTTTTCATTTACCACTCCCACCCCCATGCAAACTCTTAAGTGGGGTTCACAGAAACCCACCTTTGCTCCCCAACCCCCTTTATCTAATCAACTTGCCTGGCCACATGGCTTCTGATACTCCTGAGTACCCTCAATACTTGTGCTACTGATGTCACTCAGTGGCCCAGGCTCAGCAATCTTGCATATACAACTTCTTTCCAATCAATAAAAAGGGAAGGCAAAAATATCAATGAAAAATTGGTTAACATTCATAAACAGACTAGAAAAAGAGAAAGAGAAGCAAAAACCCTATGAACACAAGGAAAAAAAGTCTTTTCAGTAGTGATCAGATAAATGTCAATAAACAAATAGCTGTGATTTTTAATAGTGAGAGTCACTGAGACTTAAAAATAATACTGTTTTACCTTGGCGACGATGAATATAAGGGGTGAGCTTCTTCAAATATTGCTGCTTGTGGTAGTAGGAACCGGTATCACAATTAAAAATAAGAGGCATTCACTAACTGACCCAGGAGCTCGCTCCTTTCATAACTAACTCCTCAGAAGTCCAGGTTACATTGCCTTGATCACCTGCCCTAAGTCACAGGGCCCCATTAATGTAAAAGCTCTGGCTAAATTTTGAACATCCATCAATTAGTCCAAACCAGAAACACTGGGGATATGAAAAATTGTCGGTTTACCAATAACTGTAGTCAATGCCAAATTATAGCATCTGGTACTTAATATAATCATTAATCCTCATATAGGATTATATTACAAGCAGCATATTCGATCAATTCCTCACATTATATCTAATAGTTATTGTAATGGACGGCATGAATATTCTGCATAAGAGGGGTCTATTCATCCACTGATGCTTGACAAATGTTTGCCTACGACTTTCATTAATGCTTAACAAGGTCATCTTTAAACTCCAGCACACAATGCAAGCAGACTAATCCTATGGCTTTTTATGCAGAGATAAACTAAAGCAAATTCATAGCTTCCCTGCCATTAATGTGGGCTATTAGATATCCTACATTACTCATTAAATAACCTTCAGTAACAATTCCAGAAGTAAATATGATTACTGTATCACATGCAGAACATCTGCAGAAACACACCACTGGCCAAAATAAGCCCAGGTACACTGGGGAAATGCCTAATGCTGCCATTTGCAATCCGTTATCCTTCCTCACTCACATCTCTTCCTACGGAAGTTCTTTAAATTGAATAGAAGGAAGATGCGTGAGTTGCTTGGTTACGTGAAATCAGGCTGCACAGAGATTCCTACCTGAAGAATCTCAGGCTGGGACTCATCACCACCTTTTAGGAAACCTGTCATTTTTTAAGAAAAGGGAGCCACTATCACTGGGCAGCCACGGCTGTTATCTGCACTGTGGGTCGCTGGCTGAGCTATGTTTCCTGCTAATTAAATTCACTGTGGGAGATTCCTAATGTGTGTCTCTATGGGAAATGGATCTGAAAATCTGGATGATGACCCTAACTGCTTCTGGTAACAAGGTTATGAAACCCGCACTGTCATACCTACAGATAGGAGAACTCCGATAAGGGTGTCTAGCTCACAGACCATATGGGTTTCTTCAGCCTACAGCTGGAAGAGCTAAAATTGGGCTCAGCTGCAACTGGGCACATCCTGAACAATACCTGTCACTTTGTGCTTTTCAATTACTTACCTGGAAATGCAGCAAACAGGTAATTGTCAAGAAGCACAATAGTAAACCAGCAGATGCCAATGTTTGCCTAACCTGTGCTGGGAGATTAGCTCAGGCCTGGTGTAAGGCAGGGCTACTCAAAATTAGTCAACCGATTGACAGCATCAACATCACCTTGGAGCTTGTTAGAGATATAAATTCTCAGACTCCCACCTCAGACCTATTAATCAGAATATCTGAGGGTGGAGCCCAGGAACCTGAGTGTTCAGCAACTTCCCCAGGTGGTTCTGGTGCCTACTAAGATTTGACAAGCCCTGGACTCAAGTACACTGGATTGGGAATTGCAGAATGTGGCTCTCTTCCTGGCTCTGCATAAAATAGTGTATGCCCTAAGGGAACTCAGCCTCGGTGGTCTCAGTTTCCTCATTGTTCTGATTATCTACTGCTGTGTAACACACTGCTCCAAAACTCAGTGGCTTAAAGCAACCATGGTTCTGTGAGTTGGCTGGACTCAGCTGGGAGGTTTTCACCTGGCATCTCTCATGTGCTTGGAATCAGGTGGAAGCGGTAGCTGGGGTCATAAGAATGATTCACTCACCTGCACATCGGAGACTGCTACTTCTCTCTCACGCCTGGCATCTGAACTGGAATGTCTAACATCTGGCTAGGAATCCCACTCACTATAAAGTCTCTCTGTGTGACGAGTTTGAGCTTTCTCAGAGCATGGTCATCTCAGAGACAATGGACTTCTTACATGATGCTAGCTTCCCCCAGAGTATAAACACTTTTTTGCCTTTTTTTTTTCCTAAGATACGGTCTTGCTCTGTCACCCAGGCTGGAGTGCAGTAGCAGGATCATAATTCAGTGCAGCTGGGACTGTAGGCATGCACCACCATGCCACTACACCTCACTCACTGTTTAAAAAGTTTTGTAGAGATGGGATTTTGCTGTTAACCAGGCTGGTCTTGAACTCCTGGCCTCAAGTAAACTTCCTGCCTTGGCCTCCCAAAGTTCCAGGATCACAGGTGTGAGCCATAATGCCTGTCCACTAGAGTGTGAATTCTAAGAGACTGCCAGGTCTTGGTCTCTTAAACTTGGAACTAGTACAACATTACTTCTGTCACATTTTCTGGGTAAGGAGGAAGTCACAGGGCAGCTCAGGTTCAGGAGAAGGTCCTACATAAGATGAGGAGGGGAGGAGAAATCTTTAGAAATAAGCTGCCATACTCACCTGTAAAATGAAGGAGGTGGCCTACATCCCTAAAGGCCTTCATGGTTTTTGTAGTCTATGATTCTCTGATGTAGGCAATACTCATATTTCTGAGAGTACATTACATTGATCTCAGGGATGCCCATTTCTCCATAATATCACTGCCACTCATTTAGCACTAAGCACGTGCAGGCTTTCATTATGATTTACCTTATGAAAGTAGTTACTCTGACTTCCCAACTTGATGATAAGATCCTCAAGACTTTATGCCTCCTTGAAACTCCATTACCTGAGGCAGTGACCTATATCTCATAAGAGGCCTTCAGTGAAGTCATGATGATGATGATGATGATGATGATGATGATGATGGTGATGATGATGCTGATAGTATCACTGCTGTTAAATTATCCTGTCTAACTGAATGAATGCAAAGCAATCATTTACAAAGTTGAAAAATAATGCCACATGACTTTTATGATTTTACAGGTCTTTTAAAAATAGAGTTTGTAAGATAGATAAAATAGAGCTGCAAATATTATTTCCCATTGAGCTACTGTTTGCTTTAAATACACACTCGCCTTCTTTTTTTCTTTTCTTTTTTTTTTTTTTTTTTTTTTTAATTCCCCAGTGCAGAAGAGATAGTGGTCATGAGAACGCCCCATTTTCTTTCTACTACATTTTTTAGCCCCCTGAACCTAAGTGAACTTTCATGCCCTCCTTGCCATCTCTACAGACAGCTGGCTGGTACAAAGGCAGCCTTGAACTTCCAAGATGGTACAGTCACAAGATAGAAATAGCTTAGTCCCTTATTCACCTCTTGCAGCAGAATCATCCACTCAAGAATACCCTCATTACATTTTGCATGAGCAAGAATCAAACTTCTTTGAGGCCAAAGCATTAGATTTGAGGGTCTGTTTGTTATAGCAGTTAACTGACACTGACTGATACACCTAGTTCATTTCCAACATCAATCCTGTGAGTCATTGTCATATATAGATACTTTAAATTGACCTTTAAATTGAATATTTTTACCAACAAATTCACTTCTACAACATCCCTAATGAGCTCTTATAAGCAAGCTGTGAATATTTGACTGCCTGTGTTTGTTACCTTTGTTTCCTCCACTCCTTGTTTCACTCATTTATTTGAAAACCATGTGTGAGCATCTGCTAAGACATTATCTATGTCCTTGGGATGTGAAGATAAATATAACACAGGCAAAAGACAATGACAGAAATATTAGTGTGCCCTGCAAGAGGGGGTGCACACAGGACAATGAGGATATAAAACAATGGAAGTACAACAAAGAAAGGGCAGAGATATTTTTACCAAGGTTGTGACATCTATACTGAGTTTTAAGAGATGATTAGCAGTTCACCAGGTAGAGATGGAAAGAGAAAGGCCAGATCAGACAAGGGGACATGCAAAGACCCCCAGGTGGGACCCTTGCATCTTGCAGAATGGTCCCTATAGGTGGCCTAAGGAGCTGGTTAGCATGATCCCAAAGATGACTCGATGATAAACCCAAGTTCTGAAATGATTTTGAGCCAAGCAGCATTAACCTGGGGCACAAAAGAGTCATATGTGAGGTTTGGGTCCATGCCTATTATTCTGGAATCTGCCTTGCTTAACTCCAAGATTTATGTGGGGCACTTGGCCCAGGGGAGGTAATTCCTGACATGTTTACATCTAAACTTAGAGGGATAACCTCCCCAATGTCCTGTAGGGAAGGCTGGGATTGGCAAAGGTGGTTAAACCTCCAGAAGATCTGCTATGATCCTCATTTATTCAAACATGATCTTCTACTGTGCAACCCCTTGTTGAGGATCTTGCAGCCAGGAAGATCACGTCTCCATCCACCTTGGAGAAAGTGGTTCATCTCTCTGCCTGAATGCCAGTCAGCTTGACTTCTTTTTGTATCTTTTTGATTTACCTAAATATTACTGGTGCCTAGTCTCCCTGTGCATCTAAGCCTGCAGACAGCATTTTTTACCTCAGTGGTTGCACACAAAACACAGTGTGTTTGGAAAATTATAATTAGCCTGTTATGCCTGGGAGGACACTGGTGATTTGCAAATGGTGTGTGCAAGAAAAGAAATTCAGGAGGGAGATCATGATGACTGTTATACATCATGCTAAGGAGTTCAGATGTAATCTTGTTAGGCAAACGGGAACCCAAGAAATGGATGAGAAAAAACAGATTTAAAGATATAAATATAAACACATACATACACACACAGACACACATATACATATATTTCTGATAGTAGAAAGGTGAAAGTTGTAAGGTAAACCAGCTAGGAAATGCTTGCAAAAATCTGCTAAAAAATGACAAGACTAAAGAAAGGGAATGGAAAAGAGAATATAGATCTCTAAGATATTAAGAGTAGAATAAACCAAATTCAATAATTTCACTTTTAAAGAGAGGGGAATCTGGGATGAGCGCAGGGCTAATTCCTTGAAGTGGACAATGCAGGCACCAGAGTGTCTTCAGTCAAAAATATGGCCCAAACCTGGAAGGGAGATAAGACATAGGACTGAGGGCTGGGCACTATGGCTCATGATTGTCATCCCAGCACTTTGGGAGGCCAAGTTGGGCGGATCACTTGAGGTCAGGAGTTCAAGACCAGCCTGATCAACAGGGTGAAACTCCGTCTCTACTAAAAATACAAAAATTAGTTGGGCGTGGTGGCAGGTGCCTGTAATCCCAGCTACTCAGGAGGCTGAGGCAGGAGAATCACTTGAATCCAGAAGGCAGAGGTTGCAGTAGGCTGAGTTCATGCCACCGTGCTCCAGCCTGGGTGACAGACCAAGACTCTGTCTCAAACAAACAAAAAAAAAGTAGGAATGGGGAAAGTAATGAATTTAGCTTAGTATATTAAGTGTGAGAGGCCTCTGAGACATAAAGGTGAGGATTGTTGCCAGTTGGAAATGTCGCCTACACTTTAAAACTAATGTCTTGGTAGGAAAGATGGATTTCAGAATTATTTGCATACAGAGGTGTTAATCAAAATCTATGGTGTGGATTGAACCAGCAGCTCGAAAGCAGGATAGAAAGTCATCCAAGGACAGAACCCAGAGAAAATGATGCAAGAATGGATAAACAAAGAGAGAAGCACCCAGAGGAGACCAAATACATCCGGAAGCTGTGGAAGGAGGCACAGACATTCACGTGAGGACCCTCTCTGGCTTCCCAAATCATCTTCATTCGCCAAGGCTTGACTGGAATTCCACATCCTTGATGATGTGAAGCCTTCAGATACTCCACACTCATAGGGACAGCTTCCACCCCACATGCATCTCCATCGCCCCATATATCAAACACAACCTGGTATCATACCACACGCTAGCTCTTGGGGGAGAGGAACATGTCTCATTCTGTTGCAAATGACAAAAAAATTCAACTGAAATTGACTTAAGAAAAAAATAAAAGACCAAGAGGAGGATTCTGCCTTTAAGTGTGGTGGCTCTAGGGGCTCAAAGTATGCCCTTCTCCACTTGTTGATTCTGCTTCTCTCTGAGGTGGCTTCATTCTCAGGCAGGCTATCCCCATAGACGGACACACCCTTCCAGGCCTACAATTCATTTTCCAACAACTCCAGTGGGAAAGAGATCTTTATTCACGGTCATTCTAAGCTCTGGTTGGTCCTCATCAGGTCACCTGCCTATTTTTAACCAATCATCACTGAGGCCAGGGGAGGCTAGGCTCCAATTTGATTGGCTAAATCGCATGATGAGGAAGTGAAAGTAGAGTCCGTTTCACTGTGGGAGGACTTTGACATGAACCAAATGGTATGCACCAAGAAAAAAGAAGGATCACCAGAATAAGTCAGGATGCTCTTTCCACAAAATAAAAAAAATGGAAATTGATGCTAGGTAAGCCCTTTAGGAAGGGTGCACTGTGAGGACCTTGCATGCAATGGGCATTTAACAAATAACTGTAATCAGCACTTTGGGGAGCCAGAGAGAGCGGATCTACGAGGTAAAGGAGACAAACCATCGGTTAAATGGAAGAAACCCGGTCTCTACAAAAAATACAAAAAAATTAAGCTGGCGTGGTGGCCCCGGGCCAACTTAGCCCAGCTACCGAAAAGCTGAGAGGAGAATGGCGTGACCCGGGAGGCAGCTTGCAGTGAGCCTGAGATTCCGTGCTGCACTCCAGCCTGCTAACAGAGTGAGACCGATCAAAAA